CAGGGATATCAAATTCACTTGATGGATCTGAAGACAACTTAATTTATGAAGATCTAGAAACAGACGATGAGGCAGTTGGCGAAGAAATCGCTGAAATATTTTACAGTGACGACGATGATGACAGCAGCGACGACTTTCTAGGATTTTAACAATCGTGTAGTTTTCACACACAAACCAAACGGCCCTTTTCAGGGCCACCACATATTTCAAAAAGAGAACTACCGTACAAAAATACCATGTGTGCTTGTGTGTGTGTTTGTATGTATTTCAAATGATTATTCCTGACCTCTTTCACTTCACCAATCTTGACGCCAGAAATCAAAACAATGTCTCAATTTAGTGCGTGCATATCATTAACCCCTCATTTGCATGTCTATAGAAAATGTCTTTCAAATTCAACCAAACTTATCTAATAGAAGCCGACCCCCGACTTTTTGTTTTTCAAGTGAGAAGGCGGGGATTTCCTTTTTAAATTAAGCCGCGGCCTCAATTAGATATTTTACGGTAATTGTTTTGTTCCCGAGTCTTGTTCCAGGCCAGTCAGTGGCTTAACTTGTTTTGAATTTCCATGTTCCCAAATTTGACATATTTAGAAGGTACTACTGTCTGATTTTCTCTAGGTTTTCTTTGCCCCAATTTGTAACACTTGTTTTGTGCATAGTTATCACCCAACCCCCTTAGTTCACAAAAGATACCATTCATTTGAAACTACCTTGAACTACCAATGACCAGCAAGGCTTCATTCCTGGCTGCACTGGTCTACACAGTGAGCAATTAGCATCAATGTGGGCTAATAATTTTTGGAAAAAATAATACCCTCCAGGAAAAAGATTTGGCAACTGTTTAAACGTGTACTTTTCATGCATATTGCAAATTTATGCAAGTCAATTTGATATGCTTTACACTGCTACGATAGATACATCCACGTCTTCCGGCAACACAAAAATGTCAACTGTGGTTTTTGTAAAGAAGAGTGATGTTCTATGCAATGTCCCTTTAGTTTTTTTTTATTCAAGTGTGCAATTCCGGACACACAAGTCTCCTATGAGCACTGTGCTGTTGTACAATTTATACTGGCTTTCCAATGTGAAGTGATTTGCTAGTGTAAATTACTGGCATGATTAGAAGGGGGGGGGGGGTTAAAAAAAAAAACAGCTCAAACAAACGCACAGAAAAATAACAAATTGCTATTTGATACGACATTTCAGTGGCTTTAGCAGGTACTTGAGTGAACAATGAGTAAAAAAAAAAAAAAATTGTATTTCTCAATTTAAGCAAGGCTCTCGGCTTTAAAATCACAGGTTTATGCAAAACCAAATTGTATAAATTAATAGCTGTTGTTGGGCTACTAATTTAAAAAAAAAAATGGTATACTTTGTAAGAAAGTTGGTAATGTAACATCTATGCAAATAGTACCGTAAAAGTAAAACTATTTTCGCATTTAAGAGAACCGGGATTCTTTTCACTGATTCTGTTTTACTTCTTTTGATGTGCATGACCCACATAGACAATGCTCAAGGCTGATGAAATTTAAAGAATAGCCACAAGCAAACTGCTACATTAAAACTGTTCTACTGAAGAATTCACTGAATTACACTACAACACTAGCTCCCTACAATAAATGTAAACACAGATTTGATGTCATTCACAAACTGCAAGTCATGATATTATCATAAAGGTCACTGAAACCTTGACCTGTGAAAGAGGTATTATGGTGCTGTCAATTTTTTTAAGTGGCATTCATTGAAAAAGTTTACGAACCAATGTAATTGCAAGTAATTTCTTTTTGGCAATTTTTTTTTATAACATTTTGTAGAAATTTCAAATAAAAATATAAACATTGAGCAGTGAGCAATGACTTGAACTTGATAATTATTTGACAACCACCCCCCTCCCCCAACCACTAAATAATTTAAATAACAGCAGGTGTGAGTGTCTAATGAACATGTAATTTTTTTGTCCGGCAATAGAACTGTACCTTAGAAATAATTGGAAATTTTTCAAGCATAGTTTACCTGGCAGCAAAGTACAGCAATGACAGACACGATCTAATTACAAAAGTTACTTTACCACAGTCGAGGGAATTTCGAAATTGGGTGTAACACAAGACTCTTTAAATATGGGGAAAGTTCATTACATTATACAGATTGTATATAATTCAATGAACTTGTTTTGAAATAAGAGAATCACTATTCTCACAATACAAAGCCAATGTCAGGACATAGCATGCCACATTCTACTGAACATTGTCGACTATTCAGCGTACACTAAAAATGCTTCTATTGTGTCATAGGTCGTACGGAACGTCGTACAGAACTTGGCAAGTTATTCCTTTTTATATCACTGGGTGTCATGCAAGTCCTACAAGACTGAAAATACGAGAAATAAAACTACATTCAAAACACGGGCCAAAAGTTGCCAGCTGCAAACATAACTCAGAACCGATAGTTAGAACATTTATTGTAATAGAGTTTTCACAAATTTAACGACAGATACAATCCAAAAGTTCAATAGTTTAGACTGCCGGTCCAAAAACGTGTGATGAGATTGGCAAAGCAAATAAACATCAGGCGCAAAAAGCATGCACCTTATTTGCATTTACAAAAATTGTTTAATACAGACATAACCTTCAAACTGGCAGATCCAGGTCTGACAAAAAAGCGATCCATCAAGCGTCAGAACATCAATTATCCTGCCACCCTACACTGACAAACTTGTTCAAATACAGAAAAACAATAATTTCTAGACCACAGATACAATTTCGTGTCAAACGTCAGGTTTTAAAGTGACCTTCAAAGCATGACATCTTACAAGAAACTAGAAGTCAATCATTTGATATCAGGTGACAATCACATCAAAACAGTGCAGTAGGTGCAACCTAAATAAGATTGACACTCCAAACGACCTTGTATTTGAAGGAAATTAGACGTCTGTCAAAATAGAGGTAAAACAGTTCACTGGGTTCATTCAACGTAAATGATGTTCACAATTTAGGCCACTGGCCAGCAACATGTACGTTAGCCTCAATGTCGACTACTTGAGGGCAGCAAGCATGTGCATGGATTGCGCATCTAATATATATATATACACACAACACAAAGCCCCACAAACTTGCTACCAGTGTTTTCCAGATGAATTAGAAAAAAAACGCCACCTCATAATGATCCATTTTCCCCAAATGCATGTACGATTGTCACTATACGCACAAGATATGCAGCATCTAAAGCTCTCACAATCAATAAATATCTAGCATGAAAAGCCAGTTCTACCACCATAGCCGACATGCGAGGAAAGTAATACTGAACAGACGTACAATTTTATTCCATACATGTATATATATATATTTGCAACAAGGCTTTAGCATTAACGTGGTGGAATTACAGAAGTCTAGTTTTGAATCTACACAACCATTACCATCAACCTCCCATGCACACAATAACATAGTATACAATATACATGGTACTCTCTGCGTCGTGCGTGTACTTTTATCACAAAGCTCAGCTTTTAGAAAACTGAAAATGCTTCTTATGAACACAGATAGATAGAAGAGCTGTGCTGTGACAAATAAGTATTCAACTGGGCCACGTTTTTGACCAGATATAGGTCTTGGTCAAACACTGACCAATTTGACCCCAAGCTGTACTGAATGGAACCAAAAACCTATTGTACTCAATGACAGATTGACCTTTGTTCAAAGAATGTTTACTCTCAAATACTGAGGTTCCAGTGTTAATACGACAGGAAACTCGCTTTAAACAGGAAGACCTAACAAAAACCAATACAAAAACAATTTTATAACACCACCTAGAAATGCAGAGTCATGCCATGCCAGCATTTAAATATGCAAATTAGGAAACAATTGCTAACGAGTTTCAGTAAACAATGCATCAGTTATGCAAAATGAATGCATTGCAAGACCATTCTGAACTATGGGGAAACTGCTTTATAAACTAGAAACAGCTCCTGTGTGTTAAAAGTATGAAGGCAAAGGCCAGTGAAAAAATATGAAACGATTCAACACCACAAGCCTACAACTATACGACTATTCAAGTCACATTTTTCATGTGAAAATTCATTTTATAGCATTTCTGAACAAATTCAAAGAGATCTATTACCCATTTGGAATATGGTACAGCCAAACCTGTGTATAGTGATTATACAATGAACTTCACTAAAATTGTCTTTTTAAGAAAGGTGGTCATTATACACAGGTAAACGGTGGTTTTACTGTTGTATATCAATCATCGTTGGACTTGGGGCCAATGAATTTTTTTTTATCTGAATAAAACTGAACATTTTCTGATATGAATTTGCTCATAATTTTATAAATATTAAAAAAAAGATATCAGATTGTACTAAAGGGAGGGAAACCTAGGAAAAGGTATTGCATCAGCATTTCTATCCCAAACTTGATAAGCATCCAGCTGTAACCAAGGTGACATATGGCAACAGGCTTAGCATGATAATAGTCACAAATACCAACTTGTAATATTAGTAGAGGCAATAATCATGCAATATGAATGACAATAAAATCAAAAATTATATTTATTTATCACCGCTCGCACAAAACACGCACCTCATTAATATGCTTGAATAAATTTAGGCAGGGCATGACAGACTAAATTGCACGATTTTATATTAAGATTTCTTTCTCATGACGGAACCAATTGTTCGATTGATAATTTAATTATTTTTAATTAAGTTTAATGTACACCAGAATATAGCAGATGTAGGAAATGAACCAAATGCACCAATACATTAAATAATATTAACTTTTTCTTTACATTTATGTTGGCGAAACCAGCAAGGCCATGAAAACAGATGCTTTGATACCCTTACCCGACTGTCTTGGTGCTATTGAATGTTCATAATGTATTTTTGATGAAACTAAGACATTTTAAAAATGTTATGCCTTAAAAAAAAAAAAATGTGTGCCCTCACAATTCCGAACTTTAAGCTTTGCATTTTTAAATCAGTTTATTTAAGTCTCCAAAATCTATGAATAAGACTAGTGGACAAGTTTCCATGGTAATGTACTGGAGTCATGGAAACAGCCAATCAGTGATAACAAAGAATTATGTGCCATCTTTATATTTACATGACTATGCACCAGAGTGCACTGGGAACAGCATTCTGGCTGGATTCCTGGCTGCACAAATGGTCAAATTTGGTGTAAAAATGTTCCAACATTTCTGCACACGAGTGTTTGCAAAGGCTTTAATTATGCCCCTGTACATAAATTTGGATTTAAAAATAATATTAAGGAAACCAGATCGATATACGTTGTATATCTGCCAATTTCTACAAACTACTTTCAAATGTATACATTTACAGTCCAACATGGGAGCAGAGGTCCGCACAGAGTGCACAGCTGATAATCTGCCAAATTCTACATCAATTTACGCACATACTGGGATCGAAAATACAGTACAGCGTTATATTTGTTATTGTTTTGATTCCGGTCCATTCCTATACATGTGCCTGTGTCACGTGCTTTTAACTAACCATATTAAACCGGCGCGGGTTCGCCGGTAGAAGATGCTCTTCGCTAGCTGTCGATGTGCATGTCACGGTAGAACTATGAATGCACAACATTCACTAGTGTTTCGATACCATGCAAGATAGATTTGTGGCAATCAACCAAAAACTAAATACATCTCAGAACGAAGATTAAAACTATATGAACGTCAATGGAGCACGCCGTCGACCACACACGCCTTGACTGGATTAGAAGCCAAGCGAAATAAAATAAGCGAAAATAAACGCTTCGCCATTGGCTTCACGCATAATGATCGTCTAAATGAAGTTGGGATACTGACCTGGATGCCCTTCACCGACTGATTCTGAAGTGAAGAGAACGGTGTTCGCCTGCTCGATGTGGTTCTGTTGTGACATTGTGACACTTCGATCCGACTACACTGATGGTTGCGAGTGAAAGAGACTTACTAGTCTACATTTATCCCATTTACCTTTGGAGTCACGTGAACAACCAGGTCGACTGATTGGCTAATGTTAATTAATCCAGCCTCGTACAATATGTTTTATAGAAGCATTAAATATTTACATTGAATTATTAACGCTTGAAACAATATATTTCTCAAATTTGATTTAAATTATAATACTTAATCTATTAACTTGGGTAAAAATAATATACGCAATTAGCCTTTTAAACTGCAACTTTTTATTTAATTATGCTTGAACGAGGTTGAGGTTAAACCACTGTGCGTTGTCGTACGTGGGAACAGGTTGCAATCGGCCGTGTTGATTTCCGTTCTAACATAAATGGTATATTGTTGATGTAACCACTAAAGTATACGAGTTAGCTTGACATGAATATTATTTGTGTATGACTTTACATGATATTACATGACATTCCTCTTCTTTTAGTTTAAATTGTCGCATTCGCAAACAAATATGGGTGTACTGGCGGTCCAGAATTCAACCGACAGACCATATACACATATAAAACATGTAAGGTATTCTTGTGGAATAGAAAACTTTAATGGACGAACTGTAGAGCTAAAAAAAAAAAAAAAAAACGAACTGGTCACTGCTTCTAATTTTTTTGTTTTGTTATGTACATGTATTTCCTCGCCTCAGTTATGTCACAGTCCAACAACAACCGGCCAGGACACGATTTTATTTATATTGATGCTCGTTTCTATGTTTATTATTTTAATCCGAACGTATCATCGTTAGACAATAACGTTACCTAGCCGGGTGTTGCCGGGCTATGGCCTTACACGTTGTGTTTTTGACAGCGTAAGCAACGCAGTGTTGAATATGACGTGATTGTTGGTTTCGGGTGCACTATGAAACTTGCCGGTGTTGCATCATGCGTTAGTGAGCGATTGTCTCCCACTGACCATACAGTAAATAACACTCAATTCTGATAAACTGATAACGTTATTGCAATTGTCAGATTCGTATGGCCGACCAGCCGGTGAATCAATTCGATTCCTTCACTGAGGTGTATGTAAGTGCCATTGTAATGGCTTAGCGAGCTGCAATATAACATCTGAAGGTGGAAGGATTAAAAAAACACTATGTAAACGATTCCCAGAGATATTAATAGTTAATCCACAATATAGCAATCCATAATTATTAACGAGTTGAGGACAGTAATAACCATGTTTTGTTATTAAAAGTCATATTTACTGAAGCTAAATGTAAATAATTCGACATGGAGGTATTCCATGGAACACAACCCCACCTCTAGCTTTTATTTTTTTCCATCACAAGATTGAAAATAATACATCAATATGAATCCCTGCAACCCGATATCATGTACGTCATACTATCAACATTTTTATACATTCTTTCTTAATTTCACACTAAGCTACTGGTCTTGATAACAATTTTGGAGAAAAAAAATATAGAAAACTTCGAGGATTTGAATTTATAATAGGCGACTTTGTCGTTCAAAAATAGCAGTAACAGCACAAATAGCTAACTGGCAACACATGCAGGGTACTGGTACTAGTTGTCATTTCATTGTCTGACCCCCATGCTCAGGCTCATAATTACCCCAACCCCTAGGTCAATGAATATATTAATGCTAAAACATGCGGGATTTGTCAGGAATTTACCGTGATTCTAAACGTTCAATGATGGATAGCAAACTGTATCTGGCTCCCAACTGCCAGCCTATATTTTGTTAGTATACGAATACCGGTTGTCAGCCCGTGGCCACTGTATTAAACTTGCATTTCACAGAGTAGTGATCGCCGATTTATTTTTATTTTTATAATGAAAACAATTTCCTACCAGCGTTAATTTCGTGATTATTTCCATGTATGTTAGTGTACAGTCAGATTCGGCATATCACTTTTATGGTGGGTTATTTTTAGAATATGTCGGTGTGTCTGCCATTATGGCGTTTAAAGGTCGTCTGTGTGCATTTGTACGCGTTTATACAGGAGCTAAATAATTATCACATTGTTTTGCTTAATAACTGTTGCATAATTATTGTTGATTCGGACTCAACTCAACTTTTCTGCATTTGTCACCCGGTACGAGCTATTTTTGTTGAGAAATATTGTATGAAGAAATTTTCCACAGGAATTCATAATAACGCATTATTTCATTATTATTTCATTACACTGTGGTTATCGTGATTTTCTTATGTAACCAAACGAATCGTTGAAATATGACGAGACCTACCTTCTTACCCCGGGAACCGGATGGATGCTTAATTACCGGTAATTAATTTTGGTGTGTAAAAAGTAGTTCGGTGATCACACTTTTCTAGACTTTTCGAACAACAACATGAAATAAAGCCATATATAATATCAATACGTTTTGAGGCTATGATTTTAATTTGACCAAGCATTCATTTCGTAATTATTGTAATTCCTCTTGCCATCTTGATTACCATATTTCACTTTCATTGTTTACTATGTATGTACGTGTTCAGCCTATTTGCATACCAATCTGCTTATTGTATCATGATTCGATCTGCAGTCCGTGTATGCTGCCCTCAACGGGCGCATTTTCATGGTTAGCTCTTTAAGTTTGAAAGACTGATGCTTTTAAAAACAGTAGTGAAGTCTAAAGGTTAGTTACGACATGGATTGCCAAATGACAACAAATATCGCGACATTTGAGTAAGACTTTTAATGTGTAAACACTATAGGAATTTAAAAGAATTGCAAAACATAGAAAAGTAAATATATATACTAGTAATACAAATATTAAAAATATGTAAGTTGCAATTCTAAATATGTTTTTTGATACTGTACATTGGTGACTGTATTTGACTATGATTTATCATGGCCAGAAAACGCCCATATCACAGTATTAATTCAATGAAACAATGGAATTCTCTAATACGAATGTGAACTGGATGTTTTGGTATGTACAGTAACAACCACTGACCATGCAAATTAGTGGTTTTTCATTAGGAATACTTTTGCGTGTCCTGCAAGCAAAACATAATCGATATGATGATATTTTGGTATATTTTCGAGTAATAAATTGCGAATGAATTGTTTTCTTTTGTTATTTGTATTTATTTTGCTATTGCTTAGTGGCGAACTTGAAGAATGGCCGAGTGTATTTCACTTTGAACTTGCAAAGTACTCTAAACCCGTATTAGTTGTTTGAGTCTAAACACACGCGTTACAGATTTAAAACCCCTATGCCCTCATGACACACATTAACACTTAAAGGCCAGTACAAACTGTGCTTTATGTCACCGTCCCATAGTTGAGGGACTGTGTTTATGCATTCCTAAATGCTAGTCATCAATAACGTTTACATAACAATATTGATGTGTTTCCCGGGAAGAGGGTTTTCATTCAGCGGCGGAATGCAGAGGCGACAATGAACGTGATTTACCGCGGATTGCATATTTCCACCGCCCCTCAACGAACCAATGTTAACCAAGAGGTTACTTGACGGTAAATTCGCTATTGTTGTTTATAATTATTCCGATTATTGTAAACACTGTCCTTTGAAACTTTCAGTCATTGATTTGTATTAGCAGACTAAAGTAAGATAAATATTCTGACAGCAAAAGGCACTATCGCGACATTGTTTGTTTACGCGACGATTACCAGATCAATTAGCTTTGCTCAATTACCATTATTTTAAAATTGATAAGATTGGATCAGTTCATTATACATTATATATAAACAAAATTTCAAAACAATCAATTAAATACCAATTCGTCTGCCCAAACAAAGAGAACTGAAATAATATTTAATAATGCATATTGTATATTGTACGACGTTGGGGGCGTTTCTATTTTCTACGATAGATTTGTCTACAGCCCGCATGATGACTTGTTGTTGAGACTATCGTTAACTATTCTGTCAATTTAGATGTTGGATGTATGCAACAGACGTGTCACTATGATACACGTAGCAGGCACGCACATTGCAAAATCTAAAGCAATTAAAGAAATTCTATCCAACTGAAAACACTGATTACAGAATACCGCCTTCATTTCAAATATGATGTCCGATTGTGTTTCGAGCAATGGGTGTACGTCGACAAACAGCTAATCCTTCACCGTAATTCTATGACATAACATAAATCAGGTAAACCAGGACGAAGAGTTGTGCTGTTGGTTGAGTTATAAATAGCAAAAAAAGAACGAAAAAAAAATCACAATTTCTACAAGACTAGATTCCCCATTTTGCAACTAGATAGACCGCAAACTTGAAATGGTAAAGTTTATTAAAAGTGTCTGAGATATCTTAGTAATAAATTTGAATATTTCGCAACATACCATGAGTGCTGAAAAGAAACACGGTCCTTGATTGTTTTTGTCGGTCACGTTTTGCCACCAACTTGTATGCCATTTCCACTACGCCGCTTTTAGCGTGCAACGATCCTAATGAATCCCTGATTAATACATCGTTCAGTCATCAGAACACATACTCAGTGATCACACTGATGATACAGTTACTTAAAGCGTCGCGCAGCTAGAGTTGAAATTTCGTACAAACAAACAATGTATTTTACACGAATTGAACAGAACTTCGGCGCGACGGCCACCGCCCTTTAATAAAAACATAATAACGGTTTGACAAAGCGTATATAAGCGAGATGCGAACAACTCAAACCGTCGATTATGTTTAAGATTTTGCAAGAAAGGTTTATTCCAGTAGAAAGCGTCTGTATATCCCAAATCAGTTCGTGTTATGATTGGGCGCCATAGTAACATTTTACGAATGATACTGTAAATCGGGATGGAAACATAGTTTTTTTATTATTAAAGTGAATTTGATTTTTAACATCTTATTTAACAGAAATGAATCTTTGGCGGATCAAAAATACTTCGACGAGAAGCGCATTTCAATTTCGATGACCGCCGCAGTGCACAGACGTGTAATACAAAGCCCAACGTTATTAAACAAAATATACCAGGCAAACAAACTATGCCCGAGGTGCCCAGCAAATGACAAAGAATTAATTTTCTCCT